TACGTTGACCTGCATAAGGGTTACCTGCCTTGAGAATCCCCTTTCCCAGAAAAACGGCAGAGGACAGGTCGGGAGTACTTCGGGTCAAACTGACAGCCTGATGGTGACTCTCGTACACAGTCTTAATGTTTGATTTTGGGAAGGTCAACCCCTGCCTCTATCCCTCAACATATGGGTGACCTATTTGCTTGTAATAATATAAAGCCTTTTCATTAATTAATAAAAAAAGGGTGATATGTAGGAAGCCGGTTCCTGCATTATAATGCTGCCTGAAGACACCAAGGTGTGAATTACTTCACAGGCGCTGGGTAATCTCCATTCCTTTGAGCTCTGCCTATCCCGTGGCTCATTCTTGCCTGAGGAGCTAAAGCCATTCATAGGGTAATACGTCCCAGGCGGCTGGTCAGCCTTTTATATAGGGATGGTTTTCTTAGTTCAATGTCTCTGCTAAGTCTCTGCTCAGTCTCTGCTCAGTCTCTGTTCAGTCTAATGCATTAAAGCTTGTCTGCAGAAGGATCCGAATGTCCTGCGTGTATTTCTTGCTGGCGAGGAATACAGAGAGCGCGCGGGACAGGTGATTACTTGATTTCATATTTCCCTCAGGCCAACTTAGGGCTCATCTTCCATGTCACTGTATGCCCTATGCTTAGCATGCTAGTACAAACTTCTGCATAGAGCAAACACTTGCTGGATGAATGAATTACTAAGTCAATGAGCTAAACTCATCTAGCCTGAGGATATTATATCTAGAATCTGTTCCTATTTAAATACATAGAATCTGAATAATAATAGAAGTTTTCCTCTATACTATTCAGAGATGAACTTGGAAATGGCAAGTGATATGGGGTGGACAAGACAGACTGAGGAGTGTATTAAGCAAATGCAATGTCTTCAAATAATACTAGACAATCATCTAAAAAGACAACTAGATGATTCAACTGTTTACTGAGTAAAGTCTGATGTACCATGGATATCCATACATGTATCAGGATATTTGATATTTAATTCTACCTATTTTCTGAAGAGAATTTTGTTTTTTGTTGTTTTCATTTTTTGATCTTTTGACAGAGATGACATTAAGCTGAGCCTATCATATCAGAAAAAGAGACACAACATCAAATAGTGCCTGGAATTTTGTAGCTTATTTCTAGGATTTTTACTTGAGCAGCACAAGATAGCAGTACCATGACCAAAAACAGTGGTCAAGCAGATTTTTTCCCAATTCTCCCTTTCAGAAAACAGTCTATTCTCTTATGTAAGCAACTGTGTGTTAGTAACTTGATGACAAACCATGGGCACCTATGAACAAACAGGAGGATGCCTGCATCCCTCAAGGTGACCATTGGGCATGCACAGCAGCAGGACACTGAAGGTAACACTTTGATCTGAAAACTTGCAATTTAGTGGTAAATGAGAATGGGAACACACTGAGCAATATGACATGCATTTGCTATTAAGTGTTTGCAGAGCACTTGTAGAACAGAGGGACAGTAAGGAGTAACAGATAGGGCATGATCTGTGTGTTCAGGTATGCGCTGCCAAGTGAGGCAGGAGGAGATGAAATGAATGAAGAAGCATGAATGAGTGATGCACACTACAAAACACGAACTTGCAAATTTATAGACAAGTCTTATGAAACATTTTATCACAGGTAGAATATCAACAATAGCTATGTGTATTTAATACTGTTTATCCCTAACTCCAAAATCACATTTTTTTTATTGGAACTATAACTCTACCTAACTAGTGTGAGCATCATTTCACTCAGTTGTAAATGCAAAGGGCCTTAAAATTTGGATTTGGAAAAAATACAAAAATAAGAAATTAGTAAATGCAAGAAAGAAAAGTGGAAGGTAAGATGTCCTGACAGTTATGTAATATTGTGTAATAAAAACATGTTTTAAAGGGAAGATGTCATTTTAATACCACCCTTAGAATTACAACTTGTTTAATTTTTAGAAAATCAAGGGACAAGCCATTTATTTGATTAAGTCACATAATTGTATAATTGAAAGCTGTATTTAAAGAATACTAAAAGAGAACAGAACCCAAGTGTATTTGGGAATTGGAAGTTATACCTAAAGAAAAATGTTGGTTTGATCTCAGTCACTCAAATATTTCAAGGACAAAATCGTAAACTGTACTCAATGACAATTCAATTAATATTAAGGATCCTCTGAAGTCATGCATGGCTTTGTGTATCTTTTTGTATTCTCAAATACAATGATTTGTATTCTCAAATAAATGATTACTGTCAGCCTTTGTGTGGACCATGGTAGCATGCTCCTCCATCTATTAAGCCTTTCATCTTATGTTTGAAGTCTCATGAATACTACTCAATGGTTCATAATTATTTACACTTTGAGTCAGTTCTTGGTCTGTCCCATTCCTTCAAATAAGTTACTTTACTTCAGTAACTTGTAACAATGGCCACTTCACCTCTAAAAGCTGATCATCTGTGCTTATTACAACTGACCAGAGGGTGAGATGATGGGGCCTTTAAATAGAAGAGGTTTGGTGTACCATCATCCCTCCATGAAACTGAAAAGATGACATGAAGATCCCTAAGTCTTTGCAAGTGGGAAAGAGGTGTGGAACAATTCTGTGTCATGGAAAGCCAATTTATCTCAAGTTAAAAGGACAAATTGCTTTTGTAAAAATTCAAAAGGTTAACAAAGATTGGCAGAAGATTTAAAGCATGGCAGTTTGATAAATTTAAATATAATAGTTGTAGTATATTATTTCTATGATTTATGGGTGTAACTTTTAAAGACAGACACATTTGGAAACACTATGGAAGCCCAGTTTAAAGGGGAGTGAAAGAAATGATTACTGTCAGTTTTTTCACTATTTTGTTATCTCAGAATTTCAACCTGTCTCTTTGTACTATTATTCCATAAATAGAAATGCTTGAAGAACCACATGTGTTGAAGTGCTTTCAGTGTAATCTTACATATCATACGTAGTCATGCATAATGCTGTTCATAGATTGACTTCAAAGCTCCATTTGTTTCTTCTATGGAGCCATTTTGTTGACATTGATCAGCAAGCACTGCAAGGACAATACCTTCTAGGTGTGTCTTTAAAGAGGTAACTGCTCATTTCAGCTCCATCTGGAATCACAGATGAATCGTGGAAAAATGCCTTATCCCGAATCTGCATCTGAAAAAGCTCCTCATCTCGGGTGGGCAACTTTTGTGTCCTTGAGGTGAGTGGTAACAGGAGCCACAGCAGACACCAGTGGAGCAGCACCATCCTGAACACGAAAGACAAGTGCTTAAATTAGTTCTGCAGGCAGAAACTGGGTCAGATAGGAAACTTCCTGAAGGGTCAGCACTCTTGATTTAGACAGTGTCAGTGATACAGCATATGTCCTGGATATGCACATACAATTTTGACACGATTCCCCTGTGTTTCATTTTTTCTTCAAACTGTTTCATAATATAGAGAATAGATTTACTAGAATCTCAGACATTAAGAAATATTTTGAAATGAAAAAAATTTTGATTCATTTAGAACTTCATTATGACAGAAGCCAATATTATCCTTATTGAGGAAGTCCTGTCTGGAAGCTTGTGGAACCACCAAGCATCAGTTCTTTCAAGTTTTACAAAAGGTACACCCAAGGTTGGTCAGAATCATTGCTCAGCAGCAAAGTTACGAGTCACTGACACGGTTGAACATCCAGTCTAAGTCATGGAGACCCACTGGAAGGAGGAAATATTTTACACATTTTTTAAAAATTCTTGCTCAAATGTTGACTCAGAATTTTGTATATTATAATACTAGAGTTTCATAAATTAGGGGTTTTTAAAAGATTGAAATGATTAATTCCATCACTTGTAAAACAATTTGCACAAAGCCATAAAGTGAGTTATTGTATTGATGTCTAATTGCTACCACTAACAAAAGCACATTTGCATACAAATTTGCATAAGAGAAACTGGGCCTCAGATCCCAGCTGTAGAACAAGTCACTGAGACCTTTAAGCCTTTGGATTTAACTTTTTGTAGGATCTTCCCAACTGAGTTATGTTGTGGCATGACTTCCATCATGGGTCCTTATCAGCAACAAAGACTCTTTCTCTACTTCACACATACATGGCTGTTGTCAACTGCACTGTTTTCCTCATGACTCAGTTTTCTGTGGGATGGCCTCTATAGGCACAAAGGTTGACATGTTAAGTGAGGTTTTATTCCTCTGACAGAACTGTTCTATTTTTTCTTATAAAATTTTGTAAGGAATTATTTCCCAGGATTTCAAGTATTAGAAAAGTACAATGGTTTTACACTTAAGTTCTTTCCATAGTGAGAAAGTCAAATACCAATTTTATGCAATAATGTGAATTTAAGTGGATCATTTAAAAAAAGCTATTACTATAAATCTGACTAATTGGTCTCAGCTTTAAAGCATAGTTTGCCTTTAATTTCATCTTTTGGAGGGTATCATCAAAAAAAGAGAAGGTTCAGTGGTTAATAGTGCTTCCTGCTCTTCTAGAGAAGCCAAGTTTTGTTCCCAGCACCCACATAGGGCAACTGATAACAGCCTGTACTGCAGTTCCAGGGAAACCAATACAATGCCAAAGCCTCTTCTTGTCTTCTGGAATACCCATATGTATGTGGAATTCACTCAAACACACACACACACACACACACACACACACACACACACACACACACATTTTTTTAAATTATTTTTGATAGCAACAAACTTTTTTAATGATGACGTGAGTAGCTTTTCACAATCATTGTGCTCAAAGTTCATTTAAACTTCTATTTTTTTGTTTTCTTTGTAAATATTTTCTGCAGAGACGGAGTCACTGCATGCAAAGCCTCCTTTGCTGACTACCTTTCTATATTTAGCAAACATTATGAAAGTTAGGCCTACATTGGGTTACAACATTGGTCAGAATCATTATATAGTATGAAATATGTACTGTTATCATACAAAAGGAACCTCAGTTACATAGCTAGAGAGGGAACCCAATTGCAGGTAGAATCAGCTGGAGCACCTAAACTTTGCAGTATCTCTCAAGAAACCTGTGGGTTTTCTTCTTCCATCTCTACTTAGTTGCATTGAAATTGAAAGACAACTTGACAGAGAACTGAGAAAGCAAGCATTTAGTTTTTGCTTTTAACTAGATGTATGATTTTAGGCAATTCAAATGAACATTCTGAAACTCAGTTTTCTGGAGGATTTGGGCTAAATGACCCCTGAATGGATGGATGGGAGCCTGTTAAATGTGAGATTTAAACTCGTCATCTGGATCAGCTTGCATTTAGAAAATCACCAGGCTCCCTTGGGTGTCATTAGAAAGTCTCTCAAATAATATGGGGTGCTTGTCAAAGAGAACTAGAAAGGAGAGTGATGTCTAAGTGCAAGCTTATGTGAGATCCTGATAGAACTCTACAAGTTATCTGAGCAAACCAAAGTCAAAACTCAAGTTAACTTGTAATTTAATTTTTCTTGTAGCAATAATAGGTTTCTCCACCAATTCAGTAAGCCAGGTCAAGCTGAATTGAAAAGTAAAAGGATGAGTTTTTTGAGCAAAACAACTCTGGGGTGGGTTCTCCAGTGCCACAGATTGAGGGAGGAGAAAATCCCATGCCAAAACTAAGAAAGGGAGTTTATATAGCCTATAGATGAGGGGTGATGACATGTCTGCCACAAGCTGGGATTGTGCCCAAGTATGGTCAAAAACTGAACTCTGTGGGGTGGGTGTGGGGCTGGGGGACTTGGGCTTCCAGCAACTTCAGGGAAGGAGTTGTTACAGCCACCAAGAATACAGAATTGGGCTTTTTGGTGCCTTTTCTTTGTTGGAGATTCTCTGAGGGGGCAGGGCTTGGTGAGAGAGAGAGAGAGAGGGAGAGAGGGAGAGAGAGAGAGAGAGAGAGGAGCTTCTCAGACCATGTACAAGTGAACTAGAGGATCCAACTTCATCCTACCAAACAGGGACATGGTGGGCTGAGGTCAATAGGTGCCTTGTCCCCTTTCTCTTCCTCATTACTGCCTGAGGTGAAAGAAGTGAAAAATCTGGATAGCATTTGGTATTTGCTAACCGTGCAATAAAATGTGCTTAGGAAGACTTGCTGTTTTAACCAAATAAAACATACTTGGTCATGCCTTTTGGAGTAGTACTGTTCCCAAACTTTGCCTCCTTAGAGGAAATGCCAGACAATTGTTTAAATCTCTTCAGAATGGTGGGAATTTGGCTACTCCAGGGCAGCACACCTCAGTAGGCTCCCTGTCTGCCCATAAAGCTGTCATCTGTATAGCTCCACTTGGTGACTCAACCCCACTAGGCCAACCAATGCCTTGAGTATTTAGGAAAGCCCTAGATGGAGAAAACCAGTATACCAAGACTGTCAGGAATAGCCTGCAGGTACATTTATATGATAAATTAGTAATTTTGCACATTAAGTAAATTTCATTTTGTGTAATTTTTATGTGTGAAATCATTCTGGGGCTCAAAATTTATATATTTTTGGAGCATTTCCAAGTTTTTATTTTTGGATAAGAGATGCTTTATCAACTGAAAGTTCTTGGAGGATAAAACCTTGGGATACAAAAGTGAGAATAACCACTGCACATTATCAAAGATGAGGATTCCCTAAACTTAGCTGCCTCTTTTAATCATCTTCTGGGGATTAAGGATCAGGAAACCACTTGAAGAAAATGACACCATATCTGAGGCTGTTCCTCTGAAGAATGTAGTCTGTCTGACCCAGGAATCTCACACCTTCTTTAGGCATCCAGAAAACTATGAAAAAATTAATTATCAGCTTGGATATTATAGACTCCAACTAAGAGAGAATAGACTTAAATTTTTAAAGTTAAAAACCAGACTCTTCTAGCTCTTACGATATATGTGTTGAATTATTTCACCGCACAGATGCTCTGCTGTGTCATGAAAACCTTTATATTGTTTCTTCTATCTGTGAGTTAGTGTCCTTTATCCAACTTTCATCCAGACTCCTCTTTGTTTTATTTATCAAAATATCATATTTACTTATATAAAAATCCCATCAGGTACGATTTTGGTTTCTGACAGCCATCATAGTTGTCATGCCAATTCTGATGAGCAAGACAGATATTTTTCAGAGAATTGTTTAAAATTTGCATAACCTCAAAACACAGGACTTTATATTATATCACACTATAGTGCAGTATTTGAAACATACATTTATTTATTTGTTTTGTGTGGGAGAGTATATTTGTGCCATTGTGTATACTCAAATGGCAAAGGTCAAAAGATAATTTGGGGGAGTAGGTTTTCTCTTTGAACCATTTCTGTTCTAGTGATTGAACTAGGTTGTCAGGCTGACCATTTAACATTTTAACAGATTATAGAATGGATTTATTTTTAGCAAAATGTGTTCTGAGAAAGCAACAAAAGTAATTAAACATTACTTTGCAAGTACAATATGTAGTTTTTCCATTCATAATATATACTCACTGATCAAAATGGATTCATTCAGAAATTGCTTAAATGGAGGTCTTAAAGTTTTATAGTTTCTTTAACCCATGTGTTCTCCTAAAGTGTTCATTCTAATAATTAGTTACTCCAAAGTTTTTAAAAATTATCCTACAAAGTAATAGATCTCATTTCCATGTTTTCACTCTTATGTATCATTAGTCTTTGTGATCATTCAAGGTCTCCTCACTCCCTTCTCCCATCCTCCTGGCCCCTTCCTTCCTCCAAATAGTCCTTCTGCTTTCATGGCACATGTGAGGAATTAGCCACTTTAAAGGAACAACTGGAAATGCATTCCTATTTAGAGTAAGCCTCACTAAGCCAACCTCTAAGAACAGACTTCTAAAATTACAAAAGTGCCCTCTCATGGTGTAAGTACTCCTGTTTCTCTGTTACCTCTCCATATCTGTGGCTTATCTAGATTTAAAGTTTGAATTCAGTAACACTGATGGGGCCAGACATGGTGGCATCTGCCTGTAATCACAAAACTTGGATGTGGAACAGATAGAAGTAGGAGGACCAGGAGTTCAAGGTCATCCTCAGCTATCTAGCAGGGTTATGGTTAGTCCACGCTACAATGAAACCTTTTGCCTTACAGAAATAAAAATAACATTGTGGCTGTACAAATTACAATACATGGGATTGAGATGATGTAGTCCAATTTTATTGAGGAGTAATCACTCACATGAGAAACCAACAACCCAGGATCAGCACTCTGAGTATCCAATCTCAGCTGCCCTCCAAGACCCAACCAGAACCAAGAGAGAGCAAGTCTGTCCCT